CGAAGGACACCGATGACGAGGCGACCTTATAGGGTTCGGGCGCGCGCGGGGGTGGCGGCGCCGCCGCGGAGGGCGACAGGTACATGTTGTCGGCCAGTACCCGGAAGGGCGGCGGGCCCTGCCGCGCGACGTGGCCGTCATGATCGGTCCGTCTCATTCTTAGGAGGCCCTATCTTTGAACAAAAAGTTAATACAAAATTAATACAAAATTGATCTAATCTTGTGCATTAATCCCCTGAATGAATTTGTATTCGTGCGTATACCGTTGGCAGATCTGCATGATTAAAACACAACGATTGATAAAAGATGAAAATGTTTCTGATTCATCACATAATATTCGGAGGTAATTAGGTGATTTTGTATTATTATTTGAATAATAATAACAAGTTAAGGCACAATCGCGAACGTCAATATTCTATCTAGAAATTATTATACACAACATATTATGTTTATTTAGATCGCATTCGCGGTGAATGCATAGCTGCGTTCAAAATTCGAGGATTAATTACCGTGAATTTATTCGATAATGTGCTAAATTAATGTTTGTGTCTAAATGTTTTTGTATGATACTGTTTCGTATAAATGAGTACAATTTGCGCACGCGGTGAAATTACTATTTCATTTCATTCAATCTGACTCCATTAATATTGATATATTCGTGTAATCGGTATGTTTAGTAATTTGTTCTACATCTAATCAATCTAACAGTAAGCTTAAATTTTCGTACCTTCATGCAGATCGCTGAACCGAGAGGAACGCCGAGATCCACCGTTGTTTCCACCTGTAATAAAGAATAGAAATCTTTATTGAGAAGGAGAGAGTGCGTAACCATTGTAAAAAATAAACGGAGAAATTTTTATTTCGATAAAAGTCAAGATAGCACAACATCTGTTCCGCATAGCGAATGGAAAATACAATTGCAAAAATAGAAACGATCGTCTCAACCATTCTCGATCGATCGATAACTCCTAAGTCATGTGAAAAGTTTAAACACATCTTCCACACATCTTCCACACACACGCACACACACACACACACACACACACACACACACAAAATTTTTCCTCTGGTGCATTCGCTTTATCTCGAGACAAAACGACGCTCATTCGTTATTCTAACGTCCACTGTTTCAGCATCGCGTTTCGATTTATTGGCGAATTATATTGACGAGGAATGGATCAAATATACGGCACTTCAGATTTCCATATAGTACCACCCTGTCGGTCGCGGCTTCGCGATTTGTCTTCCAAAAAAAAACTTATCTGAATGAGTTTCCTTGCTGGCGAGCTTCCTTTCGCGAGACGTTGATGGGCGCTTCTCTTCTCTTTGCGGACGAGGAAGGACTCGGTTCGGCGCGGTCAGCAATTAACGAATGCGCGCGTATAATCATCCGTTCTGTGCGGCTTGGCACGTGTCCGGACAACGAGAGTATCCCCCAGGGGATACGAGGAACGCGCTTTATTCACGCTCTCGTAGGCGATCGCCTGAGCGAATTCATCACGCTTACCGCTGAACTACATTCCCGATGTGGCCGGTGCATCGTCTCGTCTCGTCGCGCAACGCTGCATCGCACCGTAATAAAGAAGTTCCGTACGCCGACGTGGCTTTCCAAATCCACAACAGAACTCACCAGGCCGACTCACCAGGTCCGAAACCGTCATCGAAACGCTCTCGAAACTAAAGCGACCCCGCGTTGCGCGATAACCCGCCGATAAATAGATAATTTTAGGCCTGAGTCTCGCAACATCGCCGCCGAGAACTGAAATCGCGCATCGAAAGCTTCTGCCGTTTCTGGCGAGAAGTTAGACTTTAATTGATTTTTCGGAATCGGAACGTTTGAGCTTCAATTAAATTCAATGGAAGTAAAGAGAGGTGGCGAAGCTAGTAAATGCTCGAGAATCGAATACTCGAGCCACGCGTCTCTTATTCCGTCAACCGCGATGGAGTAATATTTTATTTGCCCCAGGTCGAGACGAGTGGGAAATGTCCGAGGTATAATTCATCGCGTAGAACATCTCGGCTACAACGGCGAGTGAGTGATTTACAATCGTCGTTTCGTCCGCGAATCAATGGACGAGCGAGTACCGAGCATGAATGCGCCGTAAATCGTAAAATCGCGAAGCGGATTCGAAGCGGGACTTTGCAACGTGCATAAGATGGTGGTTTCCAGCGTGCGATTAGCTGCCTTAAATCGTAAATAGGAAACATGCATAGGCGCATAAACCGAATCGGCCTTTAATTGAGAGATCGAAAATGCGGAAGGATTACAGATGCGAATATTCTTAAAATCGAGTAAAGGAAAAGATAGGATAAGATGACAATCTAAAGGTTTTATCGATTTGTTCTGATTTTCATGGTGATGTAAAAATAATCAATTTTTTTATAATTAATTAAAAGTTTTATCTATTATTTGTAGAAATTAAAAAGGTTATAAATAAATTAAAATTTGGTATAATTTAAATTTTTTTAAGCTGTATCAATTTTGTCATCTTGCTCTCATATATGAGTAAGATGTCTTTTAGTAATGAAAATTAATTTTTTTTATGAAGAAAAATTAATTTTTTTACTGATTCTTTTATATTATTCTATTATTACAATGCCATGAATAATATAATAAAATATAAATGAACAAGAAACATTATAATAATGTACTTTAATAAACTTTAATAAAATAATATTTAAATAAAATAAAATAAAATTATGTACAATTATTTAACATAAAATAAAAATTAAAATTCGAAGCAGAACAAAAATAATTATTTACAAATATGTAATTTTTGATATAACATTTATTATCTTGCTCTATGGTTCCTAGATTTATTTATGTAAACAAATGTTGCAATATGAAAAATGGAAAATAATAATAATACAGTGTGCATTTTCAGATATACGGTTATAGAGAAAGTGAAAACATAATTGTAATTTCTTACGAAGAAATACTATATTACATATAGGTGTATTTAAAGCATTTTTTTTTTATTATATTATTTATTCGTAATAGATTAATGTCAAATTATAATAAATTATTTATTAAAAATCTCTAATAATAAGTATGACAGCACTTGTATTATTTGTTATTAGCTTAGAAAAATCAGCAAATCATCGTTTTACCTTCTTTTCCCTTATCTGTTACTTGTACCCCGATAATTTAACTTTATTTAAATCAACCTTGTTTTATTTGTTTCTTCTCTTTAGGCATAAAAAATATCTTATTTCGCACAATCAGAAAGAAAACACTCGTGTTTTCTGTAGGAGTACTTGCTGATTTGCGCCATGGATTTCGCGACTTGATAATAAGTTCGCGATTTCCATAATTCCACATCCGCTTATACTCTGATGCATCGTGCACTCTACGTAATTAGCATCATTAATAATTGCACATGAAGAAGGCGTAGAGTACGCAAAGCCTGAAGCAATGCGGATCTCTGGATACACACTTTCGTTCATCATGACAGTTCCTAATTGTCTCATTAAATTAAAAACGACGAGATGCCTGCTATTTTCTTTACAAAGATTGAGATCGTTACTTGGCTACGGCGAATTTAATAGAAATCGAAAAAGAAGGAAATATTAAGATTTGTTCAGCCACATGATCGTATTTCCCGTTATCAATCGAGCAGTTCAACTTATCGTGTTTTTTTCTTACGTTGCAATCATTATCGTAATAATCACGAAACGTGAAATTGCTAACGTTACTTTTCGCATTGCACTTAATGCTGGAGATTTTGAAAGACGGAAATTGATTTTATCATAATTAGTATTGTGAAATAAAACTTTCGCTCCAATTAAATCTCGCTTCTTTATTTAACAAGGAGTTAAGCGTCGAGCGTGGTCAATTTTAAGTTTTTTTACTTAATCCAAAAATTACTTATAAAAATTACTTATTTCACGAATCGATGGAAAGATTAAAGAATTATACTCTATGTCAAATCTGCGAAGGAAGAGAAAGAGAGATCAGAGGTCAACATCTGCAGCTTATTTCGTGTCTTTAATTTATTCTGCGCGACAGGTTGCATATTTGTAAATTCACGTTGCATGTGTGCGCACTATTATCATTTAATGTATTCTGATTAGCTCATTTATGAATATAAACAGGTCCATATTTTCGATATAAACGTTCGATATGAACATGTTTATTTCATTACACTTTTCTTATCTGAAAAAAATTTGTTTAATTTATCACTATCATTTTTTTGTCTTTGTGCATTGTGTAATTGTGACTTTCAAAAAATACTCCCCCTGCGCAAAATTTTACGTGCGTTACGACACAATCGTGTAAATGTACTATACATATTTACGAAACTTATACTCCCGCGATATCGTTTATCATACAACATTTACTTTCGCTCGTTGTCCGAACAACGTAACTGTAATATGCAAAATGTAGAATCGATCTATAAAGTTTGTTTGAATACTGTACTTTTACGTAACGCGCAAATTTGACCTTTAGTCACTGTTTGAACACCCTAATCGATCACGAGTCCGACGCTTAAATTTAAATAAGAACATCGCGCGTGTAGAAGTGACCGCCATTACGATCCCGAACGTAAATTACGAGCAGAAGCATGTAAAACAAGTTATACCGAATATCCGCCATCAATCGTGATTGCGAGCGCAATGAAACTTCCGAGTTACGAATATTCGAAAATTATGGACCGAACTAAACTCTTAATTCGATTGTCCAAATAGAATTAAAATCTCAAACTTTTTAAACGTATGATTTAAATGTCATTTATTTATCTATTTTTTGAATAATTCAAACAAATGATAATGTTCAAATATTTTTGTTTGCTTTTATTAAAATTGTATCAAAATATTAACAAAAGCATAAAAATTTTAATTTATCCTACTGATATTTCTTTTGAATATTTACATAAAGACTAAACACAATTTTTTTGAATCATTCGAAAATTATTTAATTTTTTAAATTGCATTGATTTTTTTTAGAAATCAAATAGCATATTCAGGACATTTATTTTGTTTTAAAAGTATTAATTTAATATACAATTAATTATTTTTTTATTTTATTAACGTTTAATTTATTTGATATGTGTAATGACTTGGAATTTTTCTATGAATTATTAGTTCTATCTTTATTATTTGATTTTAGAAAAAGAATATTCATAACCAAAAGTTTTTATCATCTATTAAAGAAATATATAATTTTATACTTTAATTTCTTTATAATTCAAATTTTATTTGAGGTTCAAAATAGTGTAAATACAAGAAATATATATATTTTTTAATTATGATAATTTTTTGTTACTATCGCATAATTGATACATTCTTAAAACTTTTTGTTACGAGATATGAAAAGTTTCATATTTTTAAAGTCTACAAATTATTTTAAGCTATAAAGCGGATTAGCAAATTATTTGAATTTGAAAGATTATTTAAAATATTGCTTTAATAATCTAATAAAATATTGCTCTAAAAATCGATCAAATCCTATTCATTTCGAAGCAGTATTCTGCTGTTATGAGCATATTCTGACAATTTTGTTTCCATTGCATTCTAGAAAACTTTTCTTCTCACGTTCTAGTGACCGGTAAAGCGAAAACAGTTTGGCGTGACGAATTCACCGCGACAAAATCGAGGAAGAGGCGCGCCAAGCCACGTCCTTAATTAACATTCGTTGTGCAATACTAAATTAAATAGCATGCTTGTTGTCTCGCTTTCCAGACGCACAACGGCCGCGAATTCACCGCTGTTGCAATCGCGCAAATCGCACAGCCGATCGCGAATCGACTCGCACCTCGCGAAGAAGAACGAAGAATGCAGATCGTGGCGCGTACCCCAGGGTCAATGACCCCGGTTTTACACCTGCGTTAACGACTTAGGGAGATTCCGGATAGTGAGACATTTGCGTAACAATCGATTCTCCCGCGGATCTTAGTAGGTCGCAAAAACAATCGAAATGGTCCTTTCCGTCATTAAATATTTATCAATCTTAAATTTTTTATAATTATTATAATTATTATAATTATAAATATATAATTTAATTTACTTAATTTAATTTAATTCAATAAGCACTTAAATTAAAAAAAAAAAAATTTAGTCCTTATTATCTGAATAACCATACAATAACAAAATATTTTCTTTTTTAGATTTTTATTTGGAAATTGATTTTTAATTTTTTTTAATTTAAAACACAATGTACTGTATTCAAAAAATGTAAGTTCCGTTAAATTATTTTAGAAAAAATAATGACATTTTCGAAATATGCATGATTATAATTTCTACACACAATTTTCTAAGATTTTTAATATATGTTCGTCATTTACTTCGCGAAACTTAAATTATCTTTGGAAAATCTCCTTACTTAGATTTGGCAATACGTATTCTTTCAAGATCTCACGCACGTTTCACTTTCAGCGTTAAAAGTATATTTTTTTCTAAGAAAGAAGGTATTAATCCTATGCTGTCTCTAACGAGTTCCCATTTTGTGTGATGTCGCAACGACAGCGCACGTAACGTTACTCCATTTCGAGATCCCACGGCAGTAATCAGGTATTACCCGCACTGGGAAACGATATGTCCGCCATATAACAATTAGTTAATACAGGACTATAACGATCGTTTTGCTCGAAATAATCGGGTATTACGCGAATGTTACGCCGCCCGGAACTTCCTCGCTCTACAAATCCAAGCGTGCCGGTTTTCGATCACGTACGAGCGATTTCTCGCTCGGTACCTCGACAATAAACAAGCGCGTGCATGCGCAAGTTGGATAACGGAAGCCTCTCGGAAACTCGAGTTTCGCAAATCGCACGCCCGCGCGATTTTCGAAAGCGCCGCTCTTTTAAATCCAGGTTTTCTATCCTAATCAATCTCGAAGCCCGAATTAAATGGGAAATAAAAACAAAAATTAAATCGCAGTTCAGCGAGCGGTAACAATAAAAAAAAAAAAGTATAAGATCGTGCGAAGAAAAGGTAACGATTTTTCATTTTTCGTATTAATAGAACGATTTTGAGATGGTACAATTTGAGAAAGGAGAGCGTTGACTCGCGAAAAGAATAAAAACACGTGTAAGATCGCGTCAAGGAAAGATGCACGTTTAACGATTTTTCATTTTTATATTAATAAAAACGATTTTGAGATAACGCCAATTTGAGAAAGGAGAACGTTGACTCGCGAAATTTCGCTTGATTTCCGCGATCTTACCTCGGCGAAGGAAAATCGTGTCTCTCGGGGAGAGCAGCGCGAATTACAATGAGGCAAAATGAGAAGATTAGCGTTCTAATCTCTAAGAATCGTGAAATATAAATTTCCGCGCGGGCGCGCGTGGACAGGCGCGTCGAACTTCTCGCGTGCAAGTCACTATCACGATTATTACCTCGAAGATGATTGCTGGAGAATATTCAAGGCCGCGTGGTCATCGATAAACGCAGCCTTACGGTGCGATCTTAAAATGCGCCCCGTAGCCACGACGTCAATTTGCCTCTTCGATCTCACGAATCGTAAACTTTCGGAGAAAGACCTCGATCTCCGCGCGCGATCTTCTTCTTCCTCTCGTGATCCTTAACTATATTTAACTTCACTTCTGAGATGTAAAATCGCTTCTAAAACGCATGCTATTTTCTTTACACATATTTATTCGTTACTTAACTCGCTAGACTGACTGAGTTACATGTTTCGTATTATATGTAAACTTGTTCTATAGAGAGATTCGATTGACAACGCGAGCGAGCGAAGAGTTAATTGTCCTCGTTGAAGTGTAAAACAGTCCGGCATCCATGGAGGATCGATACTTTCCTAAGAAGATTTTTCGTTTACCCGAGGAGGCGCCGCCTCCCCCGTATCGATCTGATTCAAATTCAAGTACGTAGACCGCGAGCGCGGGGCCGGTCGTGTAAAACTTTCCTCGGCTGAATGAACGGGGCGATTCACGCGATTTTTTTAATCTGATTCAGCTTGAATTCTTTTCTCAGCCACGACTTTCGCGGCCCGCGGAAAAACTGTGCCGATCTCAATCGCCCAAGGCCAATTAACTCGCCGGCGATTAGGATGCAATACCGAACGACGACAATTACACGTACCTTACACGTGGAAATTATGGGCACTCGAAATTGGGGCACCGCACGTCGCCTCGAGCGGCGCTCCGCAAAAAGGCGCGCGAATTAAGAAGTCGCGGCTGCTTAATTGGCAACACGTGGCGTCTAATAAAGCGCTCCAAGTCATTACCCCCACACAATTAATCTCGCCAATCCATCGCGCAATCTTCAGCAATCTTGGAATTAAATATGCACGCCGATGAAAGTCAGTACAATGGATGTAATCGCGTTATGCAATAGTTATTATGTCGCGAAAGACAAAATGTGGAATAACAGATGGGGGAAGGAAACTTTGCATCACAAGTCGTTTAACAAAGTCGTTATTTTTCTATCGCAGGTAAAAATAAAACACAGCGAATACTTTTGCAAACCGTTCTCACAAACCGTTTTTTCCGGCGTGACGTTAAGTGTTACTCTCTTACAACAATTCAGACACGAATCGTGAAAAGTCGACGACGAGGGGGGAAAATTACATACAAATTACGTACGACGAATACAAAGGACCGTTACATTATTACTGAAAGGAGAAATTTCATCGAGTTTCATGTTATGTGACATGTGTAATTAAAAGGGAAATAGATTCCCTCGGTGTTTTTTTTATCAGTTTGCACGCGAGTGTTTCCGTGTCTTGCTATCGCCATTAATTAGCATACACCATTATTAGGCGACATACATCACCCGGGAAAGAAAAACGGACCACACGTACTCTTTCCACTTCGATCCGATTCGCGCGATTCGTTCCGCGTTCGTGCTCGTTCGGACTCGCGCGTACGGATCTTCACGACGGTCGGAGATCTAGAAAGAAAAGCGGGGAGAAAAGCCTTCGTTTCTCTTCGCCACGTCGAAAGTCATCGGACACGCATGTCGATCAATCGACAGGGGTCGTTCTCCAGATCCGACAGCGGTCGCAGACCTGAGTGCATCTCAGAGAAGAACGAGAAAGAAACGTACAGAATCGGGCAGAATCTGGGCTCGTAAGGGGCGAATTCTTCCCCCGAATTATTCTGAATCATTCTAACGTTTCTTCAATCTCGAAGACTCATCGGGAATGCGAATTCCACCAACCGAGAATCGTATCGACTTTTCGATAATTTGAGGACGTTCGACGAGATCTTCTCGGAGCAGATAGAAGGCAAAGTCGAGTGGCGTTCGACTCCACCCCTTTTTTTTTTTTTGGAAAAAGAACAACGAGGAAGTGCCGGCCACTCGACCCGCTATCCCACTCGCGCCTCATAACGCGGAGCTGGCCGTCGCGACGTCTTACCTGTCTCGCGGGTGGACGGGGTCGCGGGTTCGCGGGGCTCGACACCATTTACGGCGGCAACCCCCACGGCGGCGGTGGCGACGGCGGTGGCGGCATGCACACGATGCGCGCACGAGGGTTGTGGAAGCCCCGAGGAAGGATCGCGTCTTTCTCTCTCTCTCTCTCTCTCTCTCCCCCTCTCTCTCCCCCTCCGCCTTTCCTTCGCCCGTCGCCTCTCGGCCTCGAATCTCGGCACCGCGCGTCCTCGCGCGAACACGAACGCGTCCTCACTGGCGCGGGTTCGCCTACCGCGACTTATAGCGCCTGCCGGCCGCGGGATACGCGCCGAAGGTGGTCACTCGGGGAGGCGCGGGCGCGTTGACCAACACGCGTTCTCCATCGCGTTCTTCACGGTGGAAAGTCGCCGGGTACGCCGGGGGAGCCTCGACTCGTCTCGGCACCGCCGCGGGGAGCCTCGAAATGAGAAAGCGAGGCGCGTTCCTCATGAAATCGACTTCTACCCTGGAAGAATGTTCTGATAGAGATAACGGTGTTCTTTCTCGTGGCAAGAATTTTGACACCTTACTTTATAATTAAATTTTCAATTAAAATTTTGCCAATATAGAGCTGACATCAGAATGGAGATATTTGTTTTTCTTTTGCCTGTAAAACTCGGTTCGCATAGAGATTCTAAACAACGTGTGTTTTTAGAAGATATATCTTTTTTAGATGTCTGTTATTCCTATTTCTACTAGTATAGATTAATTTTAATCTCGATTTAACTTACTATTATCTTTTTGTAATTACAAGAATTAAAAAAAATAAAGAGGAAATTAATTTGAGATTAAAATTAATTTACATTATTAGAAATAGACATGAAACATTCTGTAGATATGAAACATTCTAAATATTTTTGGTTTATATTACAAGATGCTCTCAATATATATTATGAATTATAAAAAGTAGGACATTCTTAATATGTATTTGGAATGTATGTACTTTGATAAAAATATATTTTATATGAAGAAATTTTAGTATATTTAAAATAAATAAACATAATTTGAATTTCGAATCAGATGCCACAGGATATTAAAATAATTAGTCCAAGTGATAAGTGTAAAAAAATACAATTAAAAAATAGTTGCACCCAATGTTTGTTGATTTGTGGCATAAACTGAAAAAACTGGAGTTATAATTTTTATTCTATTTATTTTATATATTTTATTTTAAATATATTGAAATTTCTTCGTGTACTAAAATGTATTTGGCGTACTACGGATTCTCAAAAAATTGTAAGAATATGTACAATATATACTTTCGCGAACTTTTTAAAACTTATTTATGCTCTTAGAATATGACGTCTTCAAGATATTTTATAATGTTTTCTGGAATGTTTATTTTCAATAGATTGCAGAATCTTCCAAGTTTCCATATGTTCCAAGACTTTTTCCGAGAATTTTAAAAAATTTTAAAATATGATAATTGAACTGACAGTTGACAATTGAATTGACAATTGAAGTTACAATCTTCACAAAAAGCTTCGTAAACGTTATATCTTCCGTTTTCTCTTTTTTAATTTCATTTCCTATCTTATTCCGAGTGCTTTTAAAATGTTACGAAACATTTGAAGAAAAAAATCATCAATTATATCAAAATTCCGAAAATGAGATGTCAACTATGCAATAAAAGAAAGAGAAAGGGAAGGGGGAGGGGGGAGGGGGAGAGAGAGGGAGAGAACTGGCGCGAGTTTCGCACGCAACACCTACTCGTTTTTGCACGTCCACCCACGTGTTCTCCACGTCCTTCCGCCTTCGCCCTCGGCCATCGGGGCTGCGCAGACCTTGCCAAGAGTGCGGCTAGATAGCGCCGGAATACGCAACATAGTACATAAGCCGTCGCATTTATAATCGAACCTCTCAGTCGGGGCTATTCGTTCATTCATTAAGCGGTTGGCCCCGAATTATTGGCGAACATTAGCTTGATTGGACGAGGCTGGGCACGGCACCGTAATACTAGGATCCGCACCGCCTTGCTTATGTCATCATCAACGAAGCGGATGCCGTGCCGTCCTTAGTCCTTACACGCGAGCAACGCCGAAATCGAATCCTTCGAGAGGACCGGGGAAACATTCTTGGAATATATTTATATTCTTTAAACGTAATCCACAAAATTCTCAAACTTTAGACAAGATTTTAAAGACGGGAATTTTAATTTCTAAAGACAATACTCAAAGGAGAGACCGACACATAAAATTAATTCCAAAATATATAAAATTGAAATATATAAAAAAAAATACATATGAATAAAAATATTCTTAGGCATTTCTATGTACTCAACAACTCAACAACTATTAGATTCGAAGAATAATGCGTTGTGTGCCAAATATAATTTCCAACGATTTTTACATGCATCATTTTTTTAAATATATTTTATTTATATATATAT